AAGGATTATAAATTGAAATACAAAAAGAAAATATTATAACATGCAGAAAATTGCGAAATAATCAGAGCATTACTGTAAATTTTGTAAAATTCATCACAAAAAAGGGAAAAGAATTATTTTTTGAGTCATGGCATATAGTTGTACGGAGCAAAGATTACTCAGATTAAAAACGAATTCATTGCACATTTACAGGAATTTGCTGTGTGTTTGCTTTGCTTCCCACAAATTTATTCAGTTTTCATTTCTGCTTTTGCAAAGCAAAAGGTAAGTGTGATGCTGAAATTAGTGATTTGTTATGATTTCTTGAAAACTTTTAATCATCAGTCCTTTTCTCCAAATTCCGGAAAGGGACAATTTCAGTTTCTGTTAATCTTGAATTTCACACGTTAAAATGTATTCGAATTCACAATATCTTCTTTCATTAAGGTACTAATTCTCGAAATATCCCGTAACGATGAAAAATGCGTAATTCATGTTACCATTACTGATTGACATCCACAATATGTTGTTAGCAACGTCTGGAAGACCATCTCGGAATCCACAGTGTCACGACAATTGCAATGAAAGAGAGTAAAAGAAGGATGAATTTATTCAATTTCAATAACGATCGTTTATTCAATAATTTTAAGATTATTCTCGGTTATGATTCCAAATTTTCACGTAAAAAAAAAAGGAGAAACTTCATAGAAAACTAAATACTGAAATGATATAAATGAATTATTACTAATGCCGTAATTTCTTCATATAGATTACTTCAGATCCATAAAGGCGTCAAGCTATTCATAAATTGAACTTCTGGAATGAACTGGGTATTAATTTTAAATTTTTTTATTTCTTATTTTTTTTGAATTTTTTTAAATTTTTAAAATTAACATGTACAACAGAAAAAGTGGTATAACATTCAAAGAATATATTTAAGAGAAAGAGAAATAGGCTACTTTTTTCAATATTTATGATCAAGCCATACAATCCCTCTTTTATGACATTTGAAAAATTTGAAGCATTTTTTGGCTGTCAGTATAATTTAAACCACAAATGGAGTAATGATAACTCAAAATTTTACTAGTTTTTATTTAACTATTACGACAATAACGAATCGTAGATTCGTTTGGGTGACACTTTCTAAATTTTAAAAAATGATACTTTCTTAAATCAGAATTATGAGTGGTAATTTCAAATTATTTTAAATATTTTTTAATTACATACGCCAATTCTGAAACTTCTGATTCTTTCTTTGAAATAGTATGCAAAAATTGCTTTTTAATCGCTTAATCATTATTTTCGTATTCGTCATATAACATCATATAACATTTATAATTTCTAAATACACTCAATATACTTGCGATTCAGAAATACGCGACAATTAAGAATAACACTCAATTCATTCTCAGTTCAAAGCTATGCGACAACAACATTCAGTTCATTCTCAATTCCAAGCTATCAGATAACAACACTTAATTCATTGTTGATTCAGAGATATGCGACAATTAAAAATAACAACCATTCCAATGATACATGACAATTAAAATTTTTGTTTTTTCCCCTTTTTTTAAATGAGATAAGTTAAATAATAAATGCATTTTCATTGTTTACATTAATTCATCAACTCATTGTTTTTTCCCCTTTTTTTTAAATGAAATAAATGAAATAACTTAAATGTATTACAAAGATATGAGGACAAGAAATTATGCAATCTTTCAAATTGGTATTGTTGACAAAAAAAAGTATGGAGAGGGTGTAATGTTAAGTTAATATGAAATATTCATAAATGGATGTCATAATTATTTTCAAATTTTGCAATATACTTTTTTAGCAATGTTAAAATTATGATATTTGCAATGATTTAGTGATTCCAATGATTTATCTCATTGCAATGATTTGTTCTGTATGTAATCAATTATCAAAAGAGTTTTGTATTCATTGATTCATAAAAGCCTTAATGGCAATATTTAAATGTTATGTGTTAATAGTCAAATGATAGCTTTGATACTTTTGACCAATATTTGATCAAATTTTTGTCCTCGGAAAAAAAGAATACTAGAAAAAGAAAGATTAAATTTTAAGCTATGAATTAAATATTTAATAAAAGCAAAATCATATCCGTTGTCGTGTCACATTGCATCACATTTACATATATTTACTCTTCAAAACATCAAAAAAAAAATAAAATAAAATGAAAAAAAACAAAAAAACAATCAGATTTTGAAATGAAAGCTGCAAGAATATATATACTCTTAAATTATCCTTCTTAAAGATTTCTTGGGCAAAAAAAAAAAATACTGCGAAAGTATGAAAGTAAAAAGAAGGATGTTTTATTTGAACTATCCTCAAAATTTAATGATAATTATTGCTATTTGAAAAATTTCATAAAAATGCGTATTTTATGATTTTTGTATGATTTAATTTTAATCTATCATCACAATATCTTCCCATAAACAATATTCTTATGTAATAATGTATTTGGTTATAAATTTAGCTAAATTATGATCATATAATGTCAAATAAAGAACCAAACACGTAAATTAATTTATATCATTTACATCAGTATTATATAAAATAAAATCATCTTATCAATGCAATCAATTTATCAGTTTATTAAATGAAGCAAGGTAATTTATGAATTCAATCAGTTTATTAAATGAAGTAAGGTAATCTACTAGTCCAATCAGTTTATTAAATAAAGTAAGGTAATTTATCAGTCTAATCAGTTTATCAAATGAAAGCAAGGTAATTTATCAATTCAATCAGTTTATTAAATGAAGCAATACAATAAAATGTTTCGTTTTACAAAAAAAGAAAAAAAAATGAAATAAAAAAATAAATGAATAAAATTTAAAAGTCTTTAATAAAGCATGAAATAAAAAAGTAATATGCTAAATAATCAAAGAAAGCAAATAATTACAAAGAAGGAGAAAAAAAAAAGGTACCGTAATCGACTAAATATTAATTTGACTTTCCCTGGTCTTTTTCTTTTTTTTTTTTTGGTATTAATCTTAATGAATATATTAACAAATATTTATTCAATCTATTTCATTTATTTTGCAAATATAAAGTATATTTAAAATAATGTATAGAACTAATTTTGAATATTAACAACAATTTGGTATATTTCATATACTAATTAGCTTTTTTCACTAACTTGTGCTAATTTATAATATGTCCATTTCCTATTTTCTGATAATAATACTAATTTATGATATATCATTTCCAATGATTGTTGCTAATGATAATAATGAAATATCCTAAAATATTCGATCAAGATCTGATCTATCATCCTTCATTTTATATGCTCTTCTTTTACATTCATCTCTTTCCAATTTATTTCTATAAAGTATTTCTAACAAAGCGGTCTTATGAATTAGTACTTTATTCTTATTTCATTTAAAAATTACAAAAATTTCCACCACATCTTTTCATTTTTGTTCACTACATTATTTTATAGTATACGATATTTATTAGGATTAATTAATTAATTAGTTATAGCATGCAACATTGAATATAACTATCAAATGGTAAGACGTAAAAAAAATCAACGTAATCGACGTTATCGTTATCATGGTGTATTAGGAGAAGATTCATCATTATCAGCTGTAATACATTTACCGAAAACTAGAAGACTACGACAATTTTCAACGTATGTTTGATAAAATTTTTCAGTTTTAATTTAAAAACTGCATGTTAAAAAATAAATAAAAGTTTTTAAAAATTTCTTCCCAAATTATGCGTAAAACTTCCATTTATTTAGGATTTTAATTTAAAATTTCATAGTTTTGTGAAAAAAAAAACAATGTGAATTAAATTGGTATTACTTGTTTGGTATTAAATAGATGACAATAAAAACAATCAGTAATTGATACTGTTTCAGTGATTAGCAAGTGACAATTAATAATAATAATAATAATAATAATAATAATAATAATAATAATAATAA